TCATTCCCCCTTCAGGCCAGGTGGTGACAGGCAAACTTCAGCCACACACAACTAATTCAACATGGGCATTGCTGCCCAAGCTGTTATTAAGCTCACGTGCTCTGCCAGAGGCCTGGCAGCAGGGAATCATTCCAGCTGTATACATGCCCACTGCAGCTCCTCCCAAGCAAGTTTTGCTCCTCTGACAGCCGCTACAATAAGACCATTTTGCTGGAGGACTTGCTCACTTTCTGCCCTGCACTCTCATTCCCGTGGGTGCATCCCTGCTTCACTGCCAAGTTAGCAAACAGGCTCACTGCAAACCCGTGGCCAATGTTTGCTGCAGTCAGGGATCAGTACCCGTGATCATGCCACGGGACTTTATACACGTGCAGAAACAGCACTGCCCAAAGGAAGATCAAGGTTCCACGCTCAGTCTCCAGAAAGGCAACACAAGACGCAAAGTCAAGAAAGGTAACGCAGCACGTGGAGAAGGGAAGAACGAAGGCAGATTCTTGCCTTTGAAAGTGAACGTGAGCTTGACTGAATTTGCTTCTACCCTTGCTTGCAGGAACAATAAAGCACGATCCACATCTGCGTTAATTCCACTGCCCTCAGAAGATGTTGCAAAGGAAAACGTCCACAGAATCCTGGAAGAACAAAAGGGGGTTTTCAACAGATGCCTCTGCAAACAGCTGGGACAAGTAGTGTCTCCAACAGGCCAGTTCTGGCCTAAAGCAGATGAGGTCTATCTTATTTCAGGAAGAAGAGATGCACTTATGACTCAGGGTGTCTGCTGGTCCTTGGGGATGTTCTCTTTTCCAGTAGGAACATCCAGGCTCTGTCAGGTCCCAGTCATGTTCAAACACAGTGCTTTCCTCCCAGCACCTCTCTGGCACCTTGGAGACCCTCGCCCTGCACGTACACATCACGCTCGACAGCTCCAGTGCTGCCGAACACGCTGTTTCGCTTCTGGATGATTGGGACGCACGCAGCAGGCACAATCCATTAATCACCTCCACTCTCCAGAAATAAGACAGTGTCAGAACAACTTGTTTCTCATTGCTATGCAGCACAGCCTTCCCAGTGGAGGTTTTCAAGGAAACGGAAAGCAGCAAAGAACACTTCTGAATGGCTGAGCCTGGGACTCCCAAAGGGATCTATGGGCACCAAGCATTCGACTCCAACTGAAGAATTGATGTAAACATGATGTAAACAATAGCTTGTTACTTCGGTCTCCATTTTGACCCAGGCATACAGATGATTTAATTGTAACAGATTCTATGGGGATAAATAATAAAGAAGATGGAGGGATGAAAGCTTTAGCATGTATGAACAATGCTGCACACACACTGTAGCTGTTAGCTAGTATATGTGAACGTCCAACCCCACCATCCTGGCTTGAGATCCTGGTGGGCCACAAGACTCACATGCTCCCTCAGTGTGCGACAGAGGCTAAAGGGGACAATTATAGTCCTAGGCTCTTGTCCCAGCCAGATGACACTTATTAACTCTAGCCAACATCATTTAGTCCAGCCAGGTTTCCGAATGACCTCCCTTTCTCACTTCAGTGCCTGATAATCTCTCACTAACAGAGTTGAGAGCTTCATAAATATCATGCCCAAATAGCTCGAGCAGTGGTTCAGAAAATTAGACAGCGATCAAAGCGCTGATGTGGAGGGAATCACCCAGCTTGGAAACACCACATCTCATCACACCTGCTGGGGGGGCACTCTGGACCAGCATCAAACACTCACCCACTAGAGCTGGCCAAGTTTAGGGGCTCAACAAGTTGGGAGGTGCTGCCAGAGCTCCATGGTCTGGGACAAGCCTACCTTAAGCATGTGTTTCATTGGCATGGGCTAAAGGAGAATCTTGCTCGGTCACACTGTTCATTGAGAAGGGGAGAGAAGAAGGGTGATATTGACTTGTTACTGCATCACACAATTCAAAGCACTTCGGTGTGTTCCTGAAGCTCCCCGCCTGGACCCCAGGAAATAAAATGGGGCCGATACCTACTCACCATGCAGGGAACTCAGAGGTTAGACAGCAATGAGAATATCTCAAAGAGCAGACATCCATCTGCACTCATTGATAGTGAATATAACCTTCAGCAAAGAGCATGGCCAAATCGGTTTGGTCCAGAGCAGATGGCAATACAAGATAGATCCAGATCACCGAAACTGACGGCAACAAGGAACTGGTTGCGAACACAAGCGCGTAAAAGAAACCTGACAATTTAGTGCATGCCCCGTAATATCACGACACCCGAACCAGCTTCAGGGACTGCACTAGTACCAGCCATCAGCCTGAGGCCTAAAAGCCTCATCTCTTCCTCACACAGACTCTTAGGGAAGACCTGATCAAAGCCACTTTCCAGGCATTTATTCTGATACTGCCTCAACTTCCTTGCCCTAGCTGATATGCCTCAAGGCTTCTGCTAATTCTCAGTGCTTCCCTGCCTTCCCCTAAAAATCAAAGCAGAGCATGCGGGAAGACAGAGGGGATGTATGACTTGATGCCCGGTTGCGTGTCCACACTGTGACCCTTCCAACCTTCTCCTGGTCAGGGCACCAGCACCAGAAAGAGACAGACCTGAACCAACCTTAAAGAGAATCAAAATATAAAGATGGAGCTTAGTGTAAGATGAGGCTCTTTTTCAGTTAGTCTAAGAAGGAAAGTTCCATCCATTTTTATTAGGGAAGCACTTTGGCCGTATCTCAGGTTTCACAGACAGAGTGAGCTCTGAAGGTTACTGTACCCTTACACACTGGCCACATGTAACACTTACTGGACAGGTTAATATTCTTCTCTGTCCAGTGACCACGGCTCCTCATTATTTTTAAAAGAAATAGGGAAAAAACCCAATTGTACAGTGTGAGATGAGAAAAAAAAATACAGAAAGAACAGAAGAAAAGCAATAAAGTCAATTTTACTCCCATACCCATCTCCCTGCAGAACTCAGAAAATACTTTGACCTGCCTCACTCTCCATTTTGGGACCTCCATCTGGAATTCCAAACATCTGGATGATTCAGTGTATCAAATTATCAGCAGCATCCAAGGAGCTGGAATAGTCTCTGCTTGCCCTACCCACACTACTGCTCAAAAGTTCAAGACCGGCAGCATCCATGTACTCCTCATCTTACCAGAACATGAACTTTGCAAATGCTCCCACACAAACAATTCCCTCCTCCTATGTAAAACCTAAGCACTGCTAAGTTTCCACAACTAGTACAAAAAAATTTCAGCATCTCAAACACCTGCACAAATGCTCTCACTACACTTCAAAAATTGATTTAGCAGAGCACTCAAGTTTCACAGTTGGTTGCAGTGGTCAGAAATAGCTGCCCTGGATTGATGTTCAAGGACCACAAGCAAAAGCCCAAAATAAATTGATAGGAACAAGTGAAAACCTTTCTGTAATCACAGAACAAATTCACTGACTTCACTTCACTGTAGAGCAGCGAGCTCTGATGTTGGTGGATGCTGGCTGGCAGACAAGAATTGAGGCAGGCCATTACTTTTTGCAGTGTAAAGTCGAGGATGAAGGATATAAAAATTTAGAGACTTGCATTAGAAGTCTCACACACTGGCAAGTTATGGGATTTTGCAGGCGGGGAGGAAAACAGACTTAAAAGCTGCAATCCTAGTTATTTTTAGAGGGACAAATATTGCAGCTCTGCTTTACATATCTCCAGCTGTATTAAAGAACCAGTGTTAGCCAAGTTTATTTGCCACAGAGCTAGGAGGGCAAGAGCATGGCAGCAGAAGGCAAGAGTCTCTTTATGACCAAAGCTAGAAAAATTCCACAAAGCCATGGAGGCTGCAGGGGCTGGTGTGGGGTTTTTCCCTCCACCCCCTCATAAAGCAAAGTTGTCACCATTGTGCGTATTCGCTGAGCCTGCCTGGCCTCCAGCCAAGCCTCTCAAACCCCATCCCAAGCTCGCCTGTAAGTGCCCTGGATCAGGGAAGAGTCCACGCACACGCAGCACAGACTTGGGCAGGCAGGTGCATGCTGCTGACCCCCATCTCTCGACAGTTGTATTTTACCTCTCTCTGTTCACTGCAGATCTTGCACAACCAAAGAGGACGTTTCTGGGCTCCAAAGGTTTCTATTCCGCACTTGGTGCAAACTTTCTGAAACAAGAAGAGAGAAAAAAAGGAAAAAAAGGTGGCGTTAGCAACTCGCCACAGCCAGATAGCCCTTGGGAGAGAGAAGGTCGAGAAGCATTTGTCTCAACAGTTCTAAACATGGCACAATTTTCTTATTTATCCCGGAGAACCACTGATTGCAGGAAGTTGCTTCAGGTCTATACAGACATGAGATAAAGGCAAATCCCAGCACAATCCTTGACTCCAGGGCGAGAAGAGGACTAGACAGAGCAAATCAAACCCTATGACCAAGAGGCGTATTTCCAGAGCAGTTTTTTTATTCCTCCAACTGTGGCATGGAAAGCAGCTGGAACCAACTATAAAACAAGCACGAGTTTGTGCAAGACTGGAAATTCTCCCCTCCTTTCCCTCACATACGTAGTCTTAAACCCCACAGCTTCCCCTCCGTTTCAGCATGCACTCGGCAGCTATCGATTTGTGGCTGCTTAGGAAGCGGGCACGACCATGCCTACGTGCACATTTCCTGAGCAGAATGCTTGATAGCACCGCATGGCGTCTATTGCTGCACAAGGGAACTTTCATGTCTCCGCTGGCATTACAAGCCATTTACAACCTGAATCACCTAATATTATATAATGAAGCTGATGTGTATCAGGCTTGGCTTACAGCTTGAATGAGAAATTGGACGAGTTCTTTGATCCTCACAGAGCAACAGCTACTCACAAGAGGGCCCTGGAGAGCAAAACCTTGCTTAGAGAGACGTGAATTTAATCTCCCCAGCTAAGGTTTTACATATCCCCCTACCCAGGCTGCTCCTCCTCTGAGCCAGGAGGTCTGTGTCAAGGGACGAAAGTCAGAGCGGTAGAATGATGCTACCTGAGGCAATGGCTTCATTGCATGAATAAAGGCACCCAACTATTTTGCACAGCACAGTCCAGAGCCAGGTCTGTCCCTGACTCATGCTGCACAGAAAGCGGGAGGCGGCAGCAGCAGCAGCCCCACAGAAGCTGGTGCTCTTCTCCATCTCTCTGTTCCTGTCCCTGCCTTCATCCTCCCAGAGAAGTAAGGAACAACCCATTGGGTCTGATGCATCAATACTCAACTTGGTGCTACCCAAGCCAAGGCAGATCGCAGATGCAGTTAGCAGACACCACCTGAACTACCCCAAATTCTCCCTCCCTCAAACCAAAATCTGAGGGAGCAACTCAGTCTGAAACACCCTCAAAGCTCCCAGTCCCCACACGTATAGCACATTCAAACACTCCCTCTAGTGGAAGTTTCCAAACGATTTTATTCCCAGCCATAAATTTTGAAAATTCCAATATAAAACAGGGCTTTCCTCCTCCCCTTCTCTGCAGACTAGCTGGAAAATTGAGCATCACTCACAAACCCTCAGAAGAAGACATAAAAATCAAGGACATTAAATGCAGCCCCATTCCTCATTAAATACAAGATAAAGCACTTTCTTCTCCTACTTATACTTCACCTTTTATACATGATACTGATACCCACTGCATGGTAAATGACACGTTATGCTTTGTCTAACTACTGCTATTGTTAACACATCTGGATTTGCATACATCTTTGTCTTGCCATAATGCATTTATTTCTAAGACAACAAAAACTAATATTAAACACATTCTTCATAAAACAGAAAGTGGCACTTAGAAAATCCATCAGGCTACAAGAAACACAGAACCTCTATTCAGCAGAAGTGACTTGCTGAAGGTAAGTTCTTTGCTATGTTTCAGACGCATCATTACAGTAATTCCTGTTATTGAATTAGATGGGCTGCAATGAGATGGTAACAAAGCAATGCTAGCAAGAAAAATATGAACTTTAAAAATCCATAATTCCCTGACAAGTCATTGCTTATTGCATACAGCACTGCACAAGTGATGGATATCCCTAGACGAGAGAGAACCAGCTTAAAGTAACAGTCCACTCTGTGTGCTCTGCTGAAGGGTTGACTGTTCCCTGAGTTCACTCCACAACATTAAAAAGCAGTAAGGGGAGAAGCCCAGGGCACTCAGTCAGCATTGCCCTGAGCTTGCACACAGCTGCAAAGTGCAGCCAAGCTGAAAGCAGCTGCAAAATGCACCCTGGAAAAGTAGGGTCTCATCTTAAATCAACCTGGATGCAAACACTCCTGAACCGCCCAACAGACTCCAAACAAAGAGGGAATAACCATTAAAAAAATCTTCACACTGGGATTTTCTGGTCACAGCCCTCCCGGAGCCTCAGGCTGAGGCAGCCTCACTACCAGCAACTGCAAATGGACAGGGCAGGGAAGCTTCTGAATCAGCTTTTGCCTCCTCCGTAGTGTACGCGGCTCACAGCAAGGAGATTAGAAACCACTGTGGCAACATGACGCAGCCTGCTTCAGACAAGGCGAGAGCAGAATTGCCAAGGGAAGAAGGCAAGAATACAGCACATCCTGTTATTGCGCACGCTTGAAATGTAGGAAACAGCCAGCCATCTCGTCTGCCACCCAGCCCTTGATTCTCCACAGGCACATGTGCACAGAGCCCATGCTCCACTCCAAGAGAGCTGCCCTGTAGCTCCCATTCAAACCAGACCTTTCACTTTCCAGTACCTTACTGCTGCTTCCTTCCCCACCCCTTCCTAAAAAGCTACTTTCTCTCTGCCTTAGGACCCAGAGGTTCAAAGATTTGCATTTACTTTCCCAGTCACTGCCTTACAAGCAATCTTCTGTATAACCCCTGCCTCAGCCAAGCTACTTCTGCAAATTGGATCCAGCGGAGAAACTCACTTGACAGCAAGGGCAGTACAGCTCACAGCAGCTCCCTGCCCAGCAAGCACACATGGAGAGACGCTGGGACCTCAGTTCGGACTGCAAGGGGCACCCACCTCCCTGCCCTCTCTTACAAGAGCTCTAAGCCCAGCAGTGCTGCAGCCAACCATAGACCAGTGCAGGCCCAGCCTGGTAGCCTCCTCTGCATCAGAACTGCACCTCACAAACTCCAGCAGTGGCAGCACGAAAGGTTCTCCATCACGGCCTGCACGCCTGCTTAACCACAGAGGTGTCAACATGCACCACTCCATGGTAAAGGAGCAGGTTTTACTCAGTGCTGCCCCGTGGGCTTCACGGGACATCTCCTCAATGCCAGGGTGGGTGACATTGGCAAGTGTCTCCTTGGCTCCAGTACCCACCAGAGACAGAGTCGGCACAGGCTGCTTCCTTCCACCCTACCACCAGCAAGTCAGAAACACTCCTGCACTCAGCAGGTACCCTCACCTCTCCCGAGGCAACACGCTGAGGCAAAGTCACTTACAGAGGCATCTCCCCAGGGAAAGATGGGCTTCAAGTGCAGCAAAAGCAGCCTCCCAGCAGAGGGAGGATAAGGTGGTTGCCTTGGAGATCATCATCTCCACAGCAATACAGATTAACCCCTTGACTGCAGACTCTAGACAAGCAACAGTCGTCCTGCAGGGTGCCGGCAGAACAGCAGTCTCCCTGAAAACTGACGCTGCCTTTCGAACAGCACCCCTGCTCTGCTACCAACAACACACACACAGAGGCAGTCATTGATGCACAGGCTAATTCATGTATCAGGTCTGGAAAACTTACACTGGTTTGGCACTTGAAGATGGACTTGAGTCCTCTGAAGAGAGGCATTACTGGAAGGTCTAAGGGCAGACCTTGCGTAAAGCACACAAACTCTTTTATGAGTTGCCTCTGATGGCCGTACATTTCTGCCTCTTCTTCCACTCTGCAAACCCAGAGTGGGAGATGCAGAGGAGGCTGATGCACCCCATCTCAGCACTAAGTGCAGTTTAGACACTTTAGCATCCTAAGGAATAAGATAATCAGGGTGGAAGAGAAATCCTGATGGTCTGACAGCACCGACCTAGACAAGTGGGGCTAAGCTAAGTTAACTCTGCAGAGCTATCTAGTTTCCAAGAGGCGTTGTGACCTTTCCCAGACAGATCTGCTACCAGGAACAGACAGGAACCTGTATGACCAAACCCACCTTTTTGCAATCCTGACAAAAGACTGACGTGCTACCCAGCAGCCCGAGCAGTTCACTGCAGAGCAGACACTGCGAGAGGCCGTTCCCCATCGCGTTCTTTCTCATGTTCTCCAGCCGCTCCACCAGGCGCCTGCGGGGGAAGAGGCAGAGCAGAGGTCACAGTGCTCACCTTGGAAATGGAAGCGGAAGGTATGGAGGCATGTCGAAAACCTGCAGACGCGTGCTCCAGACTCAGCCTACCTTTGCTGCTTCTGTGCAGTCCTGGGCCCCTTGCTGGGACCATATGGACTTTCACTTCAGTCTCTGCACTCGGTATTTCCTACCAGCTGTTTCTTGGTCTTCAGGGGATACAAACCCCTGTAAGGACATCTACCGATGCTCACCAAGCCCAGAATAATCAAAACTGTGAATATCACTGGGAGGTCTGACTCAGCTAGTGGGTGCAGGGCAGACAGCTAACAAGAAGGGCTTGATCCTACACCCTTCAGGAGCTCGGTGTCACTGGGGCTTCACAGTCTCAGCACAATGATTTCCTGCCTGTAGAGCAGGAAAAGCCTTTAGTTCTCAGGTCAGGGAATGTCTGACAGCACCGGGAAAGGGCAGAGAAGTTAGACTTGCCAAGCCCTGCTACATTTCTACATATATTCCCTGAAAGCAGCACTGCAGACACATGACTTGCCCACATCCCATTAGAAGCAGGAAGGCCAGACTGAAGCCATCAGACCAAAATGAGTCTGGCTGCACTACCGGAATGCCAGGAACTGCTCCCTGCTTCATTTGAGAGCCCACTTGGAAGACAGGAAACGCATACGTATGCAGAATGTCCGTAGCAGCAGGACTACGAAAGGGAAGGAAACCAGGATAAGCAATTAGGATGCAGGATGTGGAGAGCATGCAGAGCAAGGCTGCTGTCATGAGATCACTGCTTGGCAATCCTCAGGCATCCATTCGTAGATGGGGACGATAACAGACAGGCCATTTATCAGAGGCAGCCACCAGCCGCAGCCATGCGGGTGCGTGCGTCTCAGGGAGGAAACGCAATCCTGCTATCCATGCAACCCCATTCTCATTAGCGCTAATGTCCCATCAACCAAGCCCCATACTGAGAGAGGCAAGGTCTGTTTGAAAGAGGTACTGCCTATGGTGATGAGGTCAGACAGCGCAGCCAGGCTGAGCCATCATTAGTGGATTTATGATCCTTGACTTCAGCACAAGAGAACTCCCAGGAGTTAACAAAGGCATTTCAGAGAACGTTTCAGCACGGGAACAGCAAGGCTATCGCTTTCTACAGCTACACCAACAACCACACAGGAGCAATCAGCCCCTGGGGTCACTGGCTGCTTCTGGGGCTGCTGCTGGGGTCTCTCATGTATCACACAAACATCACTGTCAGCTCTCGTTAGCACTCACTAACGTGCACTGCACAGGGTCAGAGCGCAGCGCAGGGGCAGGAAGCTCGGCCTGCTGGACACGGGCCGGGAGTCACAGGGGTTTCCTGTCTCGCAAACACAAAACCCTGCTGGGAAATGCTGCAGGACTGCCGAACTCCCTGGCCTCAAAGGCAGTCAGCACAGGATGACCACAGACACAGCTGAGGCCAGACCTCCAGCAGGACTGAAAGCAAATGGAAATCTGCAGCAGCAAAAAGGTGCCCGTAAATTGAATAATTCAAGCTAGCAAACCCCTTCCAGAGGGCTCAGCCAACTAGAATATAACCTCGTTCACTGCTCCAGGCAAAATCCCAGGGGGCTGCTGCAGACAAGGGAAAACCTAACTGCGCTGCCAGCAGCAATTTCTAAGCCATGCCATCCACTGGTAGTGGGTGCAGCTGCACAGCTCAGCATCTTCCTCAGCCTCTTCCAGAGCCACCGGGGCAGCTGCCTTAGCACAGGCTGCATTTATACCAGGGAGTGTGTCAGCGGCTGCAACCGCAGCAAGCCCCAAGGCTCAAAGAAGGCACGAGAAAGGCTTGAGAAATGGAGAGAAAGAAAACATCACATCCTCCCCAACGTTCATCACCTCCAAACAAGCAACATGGGAGGGGAAAATAACCGACCTAAGGGATGCTCTGACTGATGGAAGCTGAGCTCAGGCAGCCGGGAGAGCCACTCCTCTGTCTGCGCTGACCTTTCCTTCTGAGAGAAGGGGACAAATGAACGTGACTGTACCCAATGCGCTGCTGCTCGATGATGTCCAGTTTCTCCGCCTTGCGGATGACTTCCAGAATGACCTCAAGTTCCTGCGGGCTCAGAGCCTGCATCTTCCTCTGCTTCTCAGTCTGGAACGTGTGCACTGACCAGCCCGTCTGGAGCCTGCGGGAGGGGTTGGAGGGAAGAAATAAGCTGTGAAAGGAAAGCACAAAACCCCCGCCCTGCCCCACAGGCCAAATTTGCCAGGCACACCAAGCCCACATCACCCTTCCATCACAGAACTCCGTTCCCTGGCTAATGCCCAAAGCAGGAGTCTCTTCTCACTGGCCAGACCACCACATCATTCCCGCAGCAGGACCGAGTGCTGTGCTGTCTCTCCCTGCCCTCTCATTTCCCTTTCTTCTCCAGATCGTATTGTACCACTCCATGTACTCACTCCTGTTTGGCTCTGCCCATAAAGAAAACTAGTGTACCTAGGGCTGGCTGTCCTGGGGGTACCCTTGCAGAGATGGGTGGTGATGCCAGACACGACAAATACCAACAGCAGACTCCTGAACACAAGGATTACCTGTACCCTCCTCCCCCCAGATCACACATTTCTAAGATCCTCAGTTCAAACACACAAATCACCAGGCATGCTTGGAAATATAAATTGGGCAACTTCCTCCCTTGGTCTAACCCAGGCCCACAGAAGGACTTCAGCAAGCCACTTCCCTCCATGCCTCACACACAGCAGCTGATATTTCTCCTTAGCTCACCTGGGGACACTTTTCCTTAGCTGGGAAAGCGGGAGCTTTCACAACTCAATTAATTACCATTCAGTAGGGGTTTAGAGGTCACTGGATAAAGTCACAGCTGCTAGCAGAACGCAGGGCACTATCAGACACAGCTGTCTTAACAAGGCTTTCATGGGAAGGCTGGAGAAGTGGCAGTGGTGTGCACTGTTCACAGTCAGGCAGTCCCCTCAGACACAGGGTGACCTCCTGTTTTCTAACACTCTGCAGCAGGCTGACCCCAGAGGTTCAGACAAGAGCAGAGGCGGCAGTGGCATGGTACCAGTTGCCAGAGAAGAAAAGCATCCAAGAAACAAAAGCAGTTCTAGTGCTTGACTCATCTCCATCCCTTTTGTCTTTAGGTTATGCAGTAATTTAACTTCAGGGGAAAATGAGATCAAATGACAACTTCCTAAAACAAAAGAGTGCTGGCAGCTGGGGGCAGCTGATAGCTGATAATGCTATCAATTATATCAACTATATTTAGGATGCTGCAGAGATACGAGCCTGCCTCCAAGCCCTTCCTTTCACCCAGGGGGAGGGTAGGTGGGCTGGACTCCCACCACACACCAGCCACGCTGCAAACTCCACTGCAGGCTGGCAGCTCCGCGCAGCAGCCAAGCACCAAGCCCCAGCTTAGCAGGCTCCTGTCCCACCCAAGCAGCACACATCTCGGGTACGGAGGGGTCTGCGTGACAGGCAAACTCCTGCCTCCCAACTGGGCTGTGAGGGAGGCCAGTGGGCCAGTGCTCCACACCAATACCAAGAAACTATTCAGGCCAGAGCTGAGGCTGGAAGGAGAAAAGGAACGTGGCAAGGACTCACTTGGCACGCAGTGCCAGCTGCCGGTCGTTGGGGCATACCCACTGGCCCGTCCCACTGCCAAAAATCGTGTCGGCCATCGCACCAGGCTAAGGAGGAGAGGCAGGGATCACACCTGTAAGAAGCAAACACCAGCACTGAGCACAGCTGCCACTCCACCCTCAAGAAAGCACAGGGCAGTCCTCAGCATGGTCTTATTAACCATCCCGAAAGGCCGTTCTTCTGACAAGCAAAACAGAGGTCATCTGCCGGAGTCACGTGCGGTGGAAGTAGACAGACTCTCACCCACAGACAGCAGTAAAAACGTACCATCATCCTCATAAAATATAAGCCAATAAATACCTTCAAATACCTTGAAGACAAGGCTGGAAGTTTAGATTTTATGGTACTCTGAAAAAAAGCCAAAGATTCTTTGTCAGTTCTGATTTTTCATTCCAGACCAGAGAAAAGTGTTGTTTGCAAGAATAATCTCTGCCCATCGCCTCTAGAGCCCCAACGCTGCAGTACTGACAGAGAAAGCCACTCTAAAGGACACAAAGAAGCCACAGTTGCTTTTTTTTACCTCTTAATGGGGTAACAAACAAAAACCCACGCAACAATCAGCATGAATAGTGGCAAGTCATTTCGTTCATTAAAACTGCCTCCATAATAGCCTGATATTTATAACTACAGCCTACAATAGCAGCTTGTTTGCATTCTCTGATGTTTAAGACAGCACCTCTTGCAGCAGATCTCCTACTGCAGCTCCTGGAACCGGCATGGTCACACCAGTGATCCCTTGTGTTCAATGACAATTTCACCATGAACTGATCAGTAAACGCAGCAAGAGCCAACTTCCATATGCTCATGGGAGAAACGCAACCCAAAAGAGACTTTGCAGCTAAGCAGCTCCGAGTCCTACCAGCAGCTCAGATGAATGGAAAGCACCAAGAGACAGGTGCAGCCAAAAGATTCCAGTGGAGGCAAAACTAGTCTTCATGTGCCGAGCTTTTCTCCAGCTGGATTTGCTCTCCAGCAGAGCAAGTGTCTCACGAGCCCTAATGCATAGATTTCCAGGTATTAATACTTACCTTCCCCAGAACGGACACTTGCCAGCTTTGAAACCATACCTGCTGGGCAGAGATAACGTGTTTAATGCTGTTTGGCAAACACAGATCAGATACAATAGCAGGCAAGGTATATCACCTGCCAACTGTGCAGTAGCTCCCAAGAAAACACCTGTTCCAATCTCAATCCACAACACACCCCAGCAGTGCCCGTGGTTCAGCGTGCTGCACTTACGCTTGCTATCTGCTGCTGACACACAGAGCTTTCTGCTCCGGTGCCAGGCACGGAGGCATCACAGGCTGCACGGCCTTGGCCCTCTGACACAGGCAGGCACGCAGCTTGTGCAAATCGGTATCTCTCTCCCTGTGCTGAGCTCACACGTGCCACACACCCCGCACTCACCCCCCAGCACAGAAACACTGACCCGTGTCAGAGAACTGACAGCTGTCTCCTGCCAAACCCCACGTCAGCCTTGAAAGCCAAAACAGTTAAAAATAATGAACCAGCTCCCTCCTCTCTGACCATTCAATTTCTGGAGAGAGTTTGAGAACTCAGCGCTTACAACAGGCAGGAGAGAAGAGAAGGAATTCCACACAAAGCACGGATTTCTTTCAGAGCAAGGGAACAAGGGGACAGGTGGATAAAAGGGCGAAGGCTCTAATAATTCAGCATAATGCTCAGCACCACAGTCCGACTGCACAGCCAAGTGAGGCATGGAGGAGATGGGAGGCTGCAGGAAAGGTCTGGCAGAGAAAGAGGGTTGAGACAGGAAGGACAGACAGAAGCATTGCACACAATTTTTTAAACCTTTACTACATTAGTTAAGGCGATCACTTTTGAAAGGGATCATCCCTAGAAGAAATCTTTGAACTTCAGCATCTTCGATTTACCCGCTCTGCTCAGCACCACATGCTGTGGGTTTGCATTTCCATTTTGTCCCAGAACACCTCCTGCTCTTTTCATCTTCTTCACCATCTCCAGTGAGGAGAGAACGCAGTCCCCGCACACGTCCCACAGCAGCTCACACGCAGGGGAGCAATCAAGCATTAACAGCAAAAGAATATGGAGGCTCCCGCCCCCGGGCCAGTGTTAGAAGCAGAGAGAAGCTACAATTTCACACAGAATGGCTGACCTGGGATTTTCCAGAGATTTTCCAAGCCTGTGGTGTGTTGTTACAGGATTATATACTCATGTAGCCCCACACACAAATGCATATGTTAAATTACTCTTAGATATACCACGTACTCTTCCCTCCCACTCAGGCACACCTGAAGAATAGCACAACCCACACACTCAGTGTCCACTGGCAAGGCTAAATGCACGCAACCATACTGATGTGACCAGTGTTTGGCAGCTGTGGGATGTTAGGCGTAAAAGCTAGAGCTGGAGATGAGCCCCAGACCACGGGCAGGGCAGAGGAGTTTGCTTTGCCAGCAGCTGTGCTCTCAGGGTGGAAAGCTGTGCTGAATACATCTGCCCCTTCTCAGCAGAGCTTTATCTGGTCTAACAGAGCTGAGGGCAAGTCAGAATAGAGCACATCAGCTAAGCATTTTTCTCAGGAGAGACCTAAAGACATTCTCCAGCCTCATACCACAGTGCGCTTTTCTCAGCGTGACTGAACAAAAACAAGCAATGTCATGCTCTTTTGCCTCTTGTTACTCAGCATACGCTTTCTGTTCTCCACCGTTCCCTGAGCAGCATCTGCAAAGAGAGAAGGAAAACAAAACACAGTCTAGAGATCCATCATATCCCAAAACAGTCTTCAGATAGATTATTCCCTCAAATATTTACGGGAGCATTTTCTTCCGGCAGCATTGGGTATCTCCTGCTCCCCCTGATGTAAACCGGCACTGCAGGTGGCTTTGCACCTTTGCCTCTGTAAAAAGCCCGGTATGGTTTGACCCAAGTACCTCAGCGAAGGAAACAAGAATGACATGGGACTGTAGGCCACAGCCTGCTGAGGTGGAAACAGGAGCACTAGCAGGACCAGAGGGAAAAGAATATCTTGCACGGCCACAGGAATGATGCCAGAGAAACGGTACCAGTATCTGGAAGGCGTGAAGCATCCTCCCGCTTATCTCTGTACAGGACAAGAAGTACAGTGGAATCAGCCTAATCAGAAACACCAAGATAGCAAAACCACGCCAGCCTGGGGAGTAATTTCCATGGCCTGTGGTGAAACATCCCTCTCTTGCAGTCAGCTCCTACTGCGTTCTCTCTCAAAAATACTCCAGCCAGCACCTGCCTCACCGAGCCATTCCCTCCCCATCCACAGCTCCACTCAGCAAGCTAACGAAGGGCAGGAGCAGCCAGTATCTTGCAGCGAGAGAAATCCACAGCTCTTGGCCCAGCTGCAAGTACACTGCATACAGAATAAAGGGGAAGTACTTAGTGTTATAGAAAGAAAACTTCCCACTCCAAGATTATGCTTTTTACTCGAATAAAGAATTAAAAGGGAGCTCCTATTGATGCTTTATGACCTCCTTTAAAAAACACTCCACCTGTTTGTTCCCTTCCTATGATGGAGGAAGTCATGTGAAACGAAACCTCATTAAATCTGAGTCCACCTGGCTGCCCTTGGCACAGGAGCCAAGAGGAGGGCTGCAAGGAAGGGGCGCTGCCCCGCAGCGAGCCAACCCTTCGCAGGGGGCCAGGAGCATTTCGGAGGATGCACAACTGAGCACATCTCTGCCTGCAGCTCTGACGTAGCGCTGCCTCTGCTCTCTCCATGACGAGACTTGGACTCTGCAGCCAGAGAACAAGGCACCTGAAAACAGGACTTCAGTCTGCGAGGGAGAAGTCTTCCGCTGGGGTCTGAGCGAAGGGAACAGCAGCAGGGTCACACTGGTGACTTGGCCCCACATCCCTGCAGAGCGACCACAAGACAGCAAAGCGAGCAGGGCCTTTCCCACTGGACAGCTCCCACTTCTTGGACGGGGAATGAAGGCGGGCTGCCGTTGGCTGTGGGGCAGCACAGACCCCAGGCGCAGGCTAGGTAGAGACGAGTGCCCTTCCATGCGACACCACCAAGCCCCACAGCCGCGGATCCTGCCACAGGCACACCTTCCCGAAGCAGGAGCAGAACAGCAGCAGGAGGTGTTTCTGGGTGTACTCCCGAGCCACGTTCCAACAACCAGCATATTCGGGACCACTTACAACTGGTGGCTGCAATGGCAAAATGTTGCCATGTTGGCACATCTCATACCTAGCCCCAGCGGACAGCAATATGCAGACACAGCCCTTTGACATGGCGCTCTTCAAAGAATTTCAGGCTGTTCTGTGAAAGAAAGCCAGTTTTCTCAGCAGAAGAGCAACATGAACATCACATATCCTTACCTTAATAAGAGAGCACAGTCATAGTAGGTCATGCCAAAGGTCCAGTGAGCATGGTACCTGCTATCTGACCAGCTCCAAAAGCAGATGCTTAAAGAAGAGTATAAGAACAGAGCACAACACAGCAATACTTTTCCAAAATACTCTCTCAGCCTCCAGAGATTCCTGGATCATGCACTCCCTGCAGCTCTGTATTTAACACTGTTAACGTTTTTCTGCCCCAAATTTATCAGCTTGCTTTTTCAGCTCATGTACACTTTTAGCATCATCTTGCTACACCATGTCCCCTCCCCACTCCTCCACCTCAAACACATTTTGACTTTACCTTGACTACATGAAACTTAAAACTGAAGTGTCTTGTTGACATTGAGGTAGTCATTGCAGTAGAAGACACCTCCTCACGGCAGCGAAAGCACAGCCTGCGTGAGCCCTCCTGCAGCTGGGCTGATTACAGGTGCCCACAAAGCATTAATTCCTCGGAGCCCTGCAAATACAAAAATGTCCTATACAGGCCCATAAAGAGCTCTCCAGTCAGCTTTCATTTGCCTGGTTATTTCAGCTAAGCAGCTCGTGTCTATATTAATTTGTTTTTATAGGAAATTAATTAGGCATTTTTTTTTAAACACTTCATTTAAAAAATAAAAATTAAACAGTTGGCTGGAGATGAGTTCCCAACTCCCAAGCCGAGCTGTGCCGGTGT